ACAAGCACCACGAGCAGCAGCTCGTCAACATCCTCAAGCACAACTTCTTCAACAACTAGCACTTCAAGTACGTCTTCATCATCCACTCTCACATCCTCCTCAACTACAACAAGTAGTTCAACATCTACAAGCAGCACAAGCAGCAGCTCATCGACATCCTCAAGCACAACCTCCTCAACAACCAGCACCTCAAGTACAACTTCATCAACCACTCTCACATCCTCGTCAACTACAACAAGTAGTTCAACATCGACAAGCAGCACAAGCAGCAGCTCATCAACAACCTCAAGCACAACTTCCTCAACAACTAGCACTTCAAGTACGACTTCATCAACCACTTTCACATCCACTTCAACGACAACAAGTAGTTCAACATCGACAAGCAGCACAAGCAGTAGTTCGACAACATCCTCTTCCACGACAACTACAAGCACAAGCTCAACAACAAGCAGCACCACCACGTCTTCGAGAACAAGCACATCTACTTCTTCGAGCACAAGCACGACCAGTTCTTCATCAATCAGCAGTACAAGTACTTCTTCAACCTCTTCAAGCTCAACTTCTTCCACCACCTCTGCTACTACATCATCCACAGTTGTGTCCTCGACTTCGACCACCAGCAAGTCTCTCACAAGTACCACTAGCATAACATACTCTAAAACATCAACGTCAACATCCTCATTCACGGGAACAACGACTACTACTACAAGTAAGACAAGGACATCGACAACAACTTCGAGCCAAAGCCGTACGCAGACGTCGACATCATCACTTACTTCAACAACAACAAGCTCCTCGACGACTTCAAGCACTACCTCAAGTTCGGTCACATCATTTAGCACGACAACGGTGACATCCTCGACCACAGCTACCTCTACTTCTTCTACCACGAGCAGCAGCTCCACGAGCAGCAGCTCAACAACCAGCACTTCAAGTACAAGTACGTCAACAACATCTACATCGTCAAGTAGCACGACAAGCAGCTCAACAACATCCTCAACAACATCAACAACAAGCAAGACCTTCACGCAGAGTGAAACCACAATCACAGGCACATCTTCAAGCACAAGTACCAGCTCAACAACCAGCACATCAAGCACAAGCACTTCGAGCACCTCCAGCTCACTCACAAGCACGACGGGCAGTGCCACTTCAACAAGCAGCACAAGCAGCAGCTCATCCACATCCTCGAGCACAACGTCAACTAGCACAACTTCTACATCAAGTACCACCAGCACATCTTCAAGCAGCACGTCTTCGAGCAGCACCACCTCAAGCAGCACAACTTCATCTACAAGTACTTCATCTTCTTCGAGCACCAGCAGCAGCTCAAGCACAACATCCACCAGCTCAAGCTCAACAACCAGCAGCAGCAGCACATCCTCAACAACAACCTCATCTACTTC